TTGTACTGCAGAAACTATAATGATTTATGACAATCCTTGACAGTTGTGAGAATCACCAGTGCATGGAGAACATTTCTTCTTTGCTTATAGACATGAATATAAGAAGGAGAAAGAGACAAGGCATCTTAAATTTGATCCTGTTCTTTACTTCATCAGATAAATACATGTAGATCTTTACTAGTTTAAGATTCTAAAAACTGACCGCAATCATCATAGTTTGTAGTGAAGCAATAAAATTCTCACTGGCTCTTTTCTGATGCTTTAAATTACTGCTAGCAGAGGTACTAGTGGCCATTTTGCATCACGTGATACCAATGGAATGCAATTGAACTTTGCAATTATTAATCAAATGTCAACCGTGTCATACCTCCTCTGACAAAAACCAGCATCACCTGGAACAACACACAAACAAACATCATTAATAAAATAATATAATATTATCATTTTACCTATTATACTGTATTAAAATAATAATATACACACATTAACTGACTGACTGTGTTTATTATTAGGAGAAGAGACTGGAGAGGTGGAATGGATCGGTTATGGTAGTGTAACCCTCACTAAACCATCAGCAGGTCAATGTCAGGAAGTGATCAGTCAATTAACAGACAGTCATCAGAACATTGGCCTCTATTACTCATCACCTGATATTGTATACCTATTGATGTCCCTAGTATTAGACATAAAAACAATAAAGGGGATTGATATAAATAACACAAAAATAACAAAAGATGTCATCCTCTTACTGTCACACAAAATAACAAACAATACTTCATTAGAGACACTATGGATCAGGTATGATTCCATCAATGATGATGGAGTCATTGCACTAACACAATCATTAATTAATAATAAAACAATTACTACCTTATATCTTCATAACAATCCTGACATCACTTCAACCAGTGCTCAGTCACTAGCTGAACTTTTACTCTACAACCACACACTATATTACCTTAATCTCTACCGTACTAACATTGATACTGATGGAGTACTGGTACTAATGGAATCTCTCAGGACCAATAATACACTAATGGAACTAACTCTAGACAATAAACATGAACAAACTTGTTATTCTTTACCTTATTATAAAACTATTGAAAACAGATTATACTTTTGGTAATTATTTCATATACATATTAAATTATTAATAAATAATTTATATTACTAAATGAAATAAAGAATTTTAAAATCTACGTATTACCAGATTGACCAAGCCCCTCAAGCCAAAAACATATGTACATTATTATTCACATTTCACATAGTGAGTGAGACAGACAGACAGAGACAGATAGAGAGAAAGAGACATACGTGCACACAGTGACAGGGAAAGAGAGAGAGAGGCAGAGAGGCAGAGAGACGGACAGACAGATAGACAGAGACACAGAGAGAGAGAGATTATTGACCAGGCAAAACCCTCTAAGGTTTCCAAGGATTAGGCAATTTATGCCTTCTCCCCTCAGAGTGCTCGATATTTCACTCTCAGCCGCTGTTCACGACTCAGAACACCTTTTCTGTGCTCACACACAGAGCAGTGACAATTCTCACAATATACATAAGCTTTTACGGTTACTGTGTTAGCATGAAAGCTGTGGTCATAGGGGTAGGAACAGGGGGGCAGGAGGGGCTTAAGCCCCCCCAACTTTCATTGAAGGGGGGCTTAGCCCCTCCAACTTTAAGTGATGTACATGTATTGCTATTATCAACACTATAGACTTTAGTTTAGGTAATCCTTATATGTGTGCATATTGTGTGATGATTTGTTTAATAAAACAATTAATGCACTAGCTTAACTTCTAAGAACACACTTTTATTAGTTCTTCAGAAATACACAAACTTCTACTTCTTTATTTAACAACTCTGTTAACATCAGCTTCAGCTGAGCATACATTTTCGATGTTAAGGAGATTAAAAACTACTTGCGCTCCACAATGCCACAAGAGCGTCTTAATCATGTAGTTATTTTGCGTACACACAAAGAATTTACAGATGATTTACACATCGAGGACATTGCAAAGGAATTTGTTACATTTAATGAGCATAGACACCAATATTTTGGACAGTATTAATTTCAGTACATGCTATGTATTAATGATCAATTGTAAAAATAATACCTTAGCCCCCCCAACTTTTAGTTTGTTCCTACCCCTATGGCTGTGGTAGACAACAGGCTAGGCAGTCCAGCCTTGAGAACCGGAACTGGGGGTTAAAATGTTTTTAATGGCCAAACTCACACCTCCCTGCCTGCCTTAAAAAGCTGTTGTTACCAATATGGCTTGTACAGTTACATGTGTGCTGACACTAGATATACAGGGCCAATGATTATTATCTAACACAACTGGGCTTACCACTACATACTGGAAGGTATTGGTTTCTTTTCCCCTGGCACTATAAACTTAAAAGACATGTTATGTCCCTGAAAATATTGACTCAAAATGACATTTTTATTTAGGCAAATGGCTATAAAAACACCATGTTTAGCTCCTTCCAAAATTTCCTGCTGTTTGGTACTTTCAATACATATACATTACCTTTTTAGCAGCCGTAAAAGTGACACCTGAATGAGCATATCTGTCAATAACTAGTGTTGTACCTGACTTCAAATCTCAACACATACCAGCCCTAATGAGAGAGAGAGAGAGAGAGAAATCCAATTATCCAACAACTATTGTTCCAAATTAAAATTACATTAATTTTGATGCTAAAATTAATACTCCAACAAACATATTAAAATGGTTAAACTTGATTCTTTTGTTATTAAAATTATCATCCTAAAACATACGATCTC